TTCAGTATTTTTTAAGGTCATTAAATTATGGGCATAGTTCCGAAGATAAAAGACCAAATTTCACCATAATTACAAAACAAATTAAATAATACAAAAGAATATTTTTTCTTAAGGCTGGATTTCTTGAGATTTATTGCTTTTGCTTGCAAAACAGCTCAGCAGCTGAAGTCTGCTCTTTGTGAGTCAACTCTAAAGCAGAATCAGTTTGCACTGAAAAGATAGAAATTAATATAATTAGCAGTTTCTCATACTACACCTTTAGTTCCCACACTTTCAGACTGAGAAAACAAGTCATAATGTCTTCCTGTGTCTTTCGCGGCATGACTTTTTACCTCCAATTTTACTTCTTAGTCTGTTTTTTTTTCCCATACCTATCACCACTGCTTTTCTAGTTCTCAGTGAAGGAGTATTGATGGAAGACGTGATAAATGCATCCTGTACTGAAGTGTCCAGTCACTAATGGCAGTCATCTTTAGTCAAATAGCAGTTCCCCTTACTCCAAAATAAAATGTTTATTTTAATGTGTTGTCTAATGCAGCAATTACCAATGTAAAAGTTGAGCTCACAAAGCAAACAGGAAACAAGATCACAGGTATGACGCTGATAAAACCCCCTGCATGAGTTTCTGCATTACAGTTTCCTTTTTTGTTTTTGAAAAAAATCAATGAATAAAACCTGTTTCTTTCATTCTTCGTTTGTTTCTTTCTATTTATATATATATCCACATGGGACTTTACAGGCCTGACGAAAGAAACACTGAGGTTTGTATTAACGCATCTGTAAGTTCATTACTAAAAATTTGGTGTCTTTGGGTGTTGGGTGGGACCCCTCAGAGTATTCGTGCTTGGCGTGGGGAAAGGTGTTTGCCTTTATTTTACAGGTTTATGTGGTGTATTGCCTTAACCACATCCTCCCACATCAATTTCACCTTAGGAGGTGTTTAAAAAATCTAATCCAATAAAACATTAAAAGTCACACATTAATGAGAAAGAGAAACTGTGTACAACCAGCATGACATTAGAGGAACTTCCTCTGTGGATACTGTAAATTTTGTTTTGTTTGCGAACATCACTGAACTGATGAATTAATAAATGTTATAACTTTGATGATGAAACTATGTAATCTTCTTATAAATGTTATACATTTCTGATATTTTGGAAACATGGAACATACCCTGAGAACATTTAAATCGTGCAAGTGTGGCAGCGAGCCATGGCTCTGCATGTAGGTTGTTATCTTCACATAGGCATGGTTTCACTGAAAATAAAACACGTTAAAAAAAACATGCAACGCTATGTGTGATAATAGGTTAGTAGGTTATAAGTTTTGCCATTTTGAATTAGGCAGATGCCAAATTCAAAATAACATGCAGTATATTCAGGTACACTATACATCAGTTTGTACTGATGTGAGTTTAGCAATATTAAGGTGTTCTCCATCAGTTGTGCTACAGGAGCCCTTGCACAAAACTTGCACTTAAAACTTGCTTATGGCTTAATGACAGAAACACCCATATAAAAATATTTGTGAAGGATGGAATCGATGGACTTCAAGGACAGTGTGTAGCTAATATTAAGCGGGAAAATCAAATAGCCATTGAAAAAATGATAAACAATGGCAAAAAATTATCTAGATAATGAACAATGGTTTAGCTAAAGGGGTATTTTTTAAACCATTTACTCACTATTACGTTGTTCTAAAGCTGTATGACTTTCTTTCTTCTGTGGATACATTGAAAGTCAACAGTGTCCAATATTGTCCGGACCCCAGCAGTCTTCAAAATATCTTCCTTAGTGCTCTGAAGAAGAGCAAAAAACATACTGTACAGGTTTTAAACAACATAAGATGAATAAATGATGACTGAATTGAATTGAATTGGGGGTTAAACTATCCATTTAAGGCAAGGCGCCACAGGTGAATATAGGGTAAAAACATTGACTAATTGATATCACCATTTCCTCAGTTTATTAACTACATTAAGAATTGCAAAAAAAAAAAAGAAGTTTGTATTACAAGTTTTCTGAAATGTTATATTTAAATATGCAAATGAGGCATGATCTAATTGAATATGTGTTTATTTGCATAAATTGTCAGAACAAAAATATGAATTTTTGTTTCATTTTGTTGAGTCAAAGGTTTTTACAGAGGAGATTTTAGATATCTCTTTTCATCAAAAAAAAACACTACTTTTAAGGGAAAAAAGTATAAAATCATGAATATAATAAAATCCTTTAGAATATTGATATGTAATAACTTGTAAAACTGTAAAAACCTTCAGAATATGGATATTAATAAAAATGTTAAGTTTGGTGTAAGTGATACTTAAGTGGAGATTTTTGACTGACTGAAAAAAAAAACGAATTTTCAGAAAACATTTGTGAAGGATGGAATCGATGGACTTCAAGGACAGTGTGTAGCTAATATTAAGCGGGAAAATCAAATAGCCATTGAAAAAATGATAAACAATGGCAAAAAATTATCTAGATAATGAACAATGGTTTAGCTAAAGGGGTATTTTTTAAACCATTTACTCACTATTACGTTGTTCTAAAGCTGTATGACTTTCTTTCTTCTGTGGATACATTGAAAGTCAACAGTGTCCAATATTGTCCGGACCCCAGCAGTCTTCAAAATATCTTCCTTAGTGCTCTGAAGAAGAGCAAAAAACATACTGTACAGGTTTTAAACAACATAAGATGAATAAATGATGACTGAATTGAATTGAATTGGGGGTTAAACTATCCATTTAAGGCAAGGCGCCACAGGTGAATATAGGGTAAAAACATTGACTAATTGATATCACCATTTCCTCAGTTTATTAACTACATTAAGAATTGCAAAAAAAAAAAAGAAGTTTGTATTACAAGTTTTCTGAAATGTTATATTTAAATATGCAAATGAGGCATGATCTAATTGAATATGTGTTTATTTGCATAAATTGTCAGAACAAAAATATGAATTTTTGTTTCATTTTGTTGAGTCAAAGGTTTTTACAGAGGAGATTTTAGATATAACACAGAGTGAACACAATAAAATTAAATTGTTACAGAATGTACTAAAGCTCATTTTAATTATTAAACTGAACAAGTGGCTATTTTTGTTTGTTTGTTTGTTTTTTTGTATGTAGAGTTTTGGCGCTGTCTACTTTAGGTCGCACAAAATTCAAGAAATTATAAAGCAGAAAATAAATGACTCATGAGCGTAGGGTTGACTTTTAAACAGAGCTGGGGACACTAACTTTAAATATTCAGTTTGAGTATGCATAAAGGTGCTGTACCCATAAGTTGGCATCATGAACTCAAAAAAGGCGTATTAAGTCTACGAATGTCTTTTAAAGAGTTTCAGAAAACATTATTTTACGTAAAGCATTTGAAACTACAGCCCACCTCTACAATTTCAATCTGTGCAAGTCAGCTGCACTAAATCTGTAATGACTATCAAATCTGATGCTGGCACACGCTGTGGCATTAAAATTATTTTTCACTTCCTTTTGAAAAACACAAAAAAAGTCCCTTGCTTGAGACTCTGCTTGTGAATCATTTCGGTCAACATTTCTGAAACAGCTCTGAGACTTAAGTTAGGCAGTGATTTGTTGGTTATATGTGCCATCTGCATTTTGCGTACCTGCTGAAGTAGCATGTTTGGAAAGCCTATAACCTGGCCTCACACTTCCTGTTCACAGAAGTGCACCCCTGTGTATGTGATGGTTTTAAGTAGCATGGTTTTTACAGTGTTATATCTCATGTCTTTCTTGTGTGACTGCAGGGAGAAGTCTTTTCAGTAAAACCTAACAATGTCACAGGCATCTTAAAAATAGATACTAAAATAAAATAAAATATTCAATTATTGTATTTATAAAGTATATTTATTTTTATATATTTATATTTTTTAAATAAGTACATATTTAAAAGTGTTATGTAAATTATAATAAAATAATGTTAATATTATTAACATTAATATTCAATTATTTATACAAAATATTTGTATAAATAAAATGATAATTTATATATAAATTCTAAAACTTTACATTGCACAGTCTTTGTCACTGCAGTGGTGCCCTTTCAAAACTAATATGTACCATTTAAGTACTACTAAGCACACTTGATGAGTAAATTAGGTACAAAATGTACCTTTTTAAAGTGTACCATCCCAGTGACAGCTTTTGTACCTTTTCTTCTGAGTGTAAAACTATATAAATTATAATCTACATATCAATTATATATTATAATTTATGCATTTAAAAAAAAAAAAAATGATACATTTTCTTTTTTAAAAGAATCTTAAATGAAGCTCTCAAAGTACAACTACAGTGTAAAAATATGCAATGAAATTTTTCAAAGTTGTAAATAAAACAGATTATTGGAGTACTATTTCAGTCTTTCTACTTCGAATTTTCACATTTAATTAAATGTTTCACTTGCCGTTTCTTTGTAATTATTTGTGAAATTTACTAGCAATTGTTTCGACACCCAATTTTTTGTACAACAAATAAAACTAACCAACAATGCAGATGTTAATGACAATTTGATGTTCAAGTGGTAAAATGTGACCCTGGACCACAAATCCAGTCTTAAGACGCTGGGGTATATTTGTAGCAATAGCCAAAAATACATTGTATGGGTCAAAATGATTGATTTTTCTTTTATGCCAAAAATCATTAGGATATTATGTAAAGATCATGTTCCATGAAGATATTTTGTACATTTCATACTGTAAATATATTAAGACTTAATTTTTGATTAGTAATATGCATTGCTAAGAACTTCATTTGGACAACTTTAAAGGCGATTTTCTCAATATTTAGATTTTTTTGCACCCTCAGATTCCAGATTTTCAAATAGTTGAATCTCGGCCAAATATATTCCTATCCTAACAAACCATACGTCAATGGAAAGCTTATTTCTGTATAAATCTCAATTTCGAAAAATTGACCCTTATGACTGGTTTTGTGGTCCAGGGTCACAAATCACATAGTAATCTCTGTCTCTTCAAACAGGTGGAAAAACAACCATGAATGTCTCAAAAACGGACGAAATCAAAATGGACAATGCCACCTTGGCCCTGTTTGACAACAAATTGGCCAGTGATATTGTGTCAGCCATCTATGTCATCGTGACCCTTGCCAACCTGAGCGGTAACGGCATCTCTCTGTTTCTGTTACTGATGCGCACCTCTCCGAAAACCCCCTCCATCATCTTCATGATCAACCTCACCCTGACTGACTTGATACTGGGCACTGTGCTCCCCTTTCAGATTGCCTACCAAATGCAGGGTTACAACTGGACTTTGGGTACGGGCACGTGCAATGTACTGACGGTGGTTTTCTACAGCAACATGTACTGCTCCATTTTATCCATGACTGCCATCAGCGCCGACCGCTACGTGGGGATTGTGAAACCGATGCGCTTCAGAGAGATGAGGAAGAGGAAAACATATGCAATTGTTGCCTGTATATTCATATGGCTGCTAGTCCTTGTGATTCTGAGCCCGCTGCAAAAAACAGACTTGACATATTTTGTAAAGGAGCGCAATATCACCACGTGTTTTGACGTGTTGAGGAAGGACATACTCCCGAGCACTGCTCACTGGGCGGGCTTCATTTTTGGCATGTTCATCATCCTCTTCCTCTGTCCGTTCATCATAACAGTGTTTTGCTACATTAACATCATCTGCGTCCTGGTCAGAAAGACCAATAGTCAACAGAAAGGCCGTGCTGTGCGGTTGGCGTGCATCGTTCTGTTTGTGTACATTTTTTGTTTCGCTCCCAATAATATATTACTATTGGCCCACGCAATCATAAGGCTGTACTATGACCAATCTCTCTATATCTACTATAAACTCTCCCTGTCTCTTAGCTGCATTAATAGTTGCATAGATCCATTTATTTATTATTTTGCATCGAAAGAGTTTCGTCGGAAGCTAAGGCAAATGCTGAGGTGGCATACTCTCAGCACGGGAGAGATGCAAATGATTGAGGGTCGTAGAGAAAGCTTTTTCTCTGGACGTACAACGTGCAATGCAAATGAGGACTGTGACAATTTTTAACATTTCTTTTTATTTTGAGAAGATATTAGGGGAATTGTCAGAATCAGCGGCCATATGAGCACTGTTAAATGAGTCAGAGCACAAGTGCTAACAACCACGGCTCTGACACAATTCATATTGCTTATAATAATATAATGCAAACTCATAGGAAGGACCACTTCCCATAGATAGTTTTCTTGTTATCGTTTTGTAGCGTTTAGCTTTTGTTCCGTTTTGATTTCCTGGCTGAGCAACTGAGTACAAGCATGCTGCTCACATGCATTCAGAGCGCGTGATGTTGTGTATCTTGTTTTTTTTTTTTTTGGTATCATACACCCAAGTTCCTTCTCACCGAAACGTTGACATATTTTTTGTACATTGATGTGTGGTTAGCAGCAACTTCAGTAATTTCTGATCTGACTGAAAAACTACAAAGACTTATTGTGGCAGCTATTTTAGATGTATTGCTAATCTATAAATTATTTTATACTATGAAATTACTTATACTGTTTATAATGTGCCTGTATTATTACAATCTTATTCATTGTTACATGTTTATTTTTATAATTTTTTTTTTTATTGCTGGGCATTATTTTTCTGTGGTAACAAAGTATACAAAGTTATATAGGGGCATTTATTTTGTCATGTTAAATTTAATAAACACATCTAAACAAATTGATTTTGTAATTATTATCATTCTAAGATTAAATATTACATATGGACTATTCAACAAAAGCAATGTTACAACCAACTAACAGGCAACAACTATAAGGCAAATTGTTCTGAGAACCTCGACCACAGACATGTCACAGCGAGGTCAAGATTTTTTTCAGTTCCTATGAAACTGAGAACTATGGCATGTCAAGCGAAGTACTGCGCATGTACTGAACAAATGGAACTTTTAAGAAGTAAAACACAATCAGTGCAAGACCTCAGTGGAAATAAAATAGCTTCCAGGAAATGGATATAAGTGGTCTCAGACCGATGTGAAGTATACAACTGAATTCTAAAGAAAATGCCCAGTGCAATGCACAAAAAGGAAATAAAGCAGTTTGCAAACGCCACTTCAAAGTGTGCTACAACAGGTGATGTTATGGTTCAAGTGAGAGAGAGAGAAAAAGAGAGCACTTGTATAGCAGATGCATTTATCATATACAATATATACATACATGCATACATATATATTATATTAAATATGGATGTCTGCTATGCATCTCATAGGGCCATAATATGACTTAGTAATAGGATGACCATGTCCTGAACGGGATTTCTAAATTGCCCAAAATGTCTGGGTTTTGAATTTGTTTTCCTATTGCCAGCCTCTCTACAGTCCTCATATGTATTTGCATTGCTTTGACTGTTCTCTGTGATCCCACCTTCTCGCAAACTGACGTACAATGCCTGCATACTATTGGTCAAACTACTTTTCAGTCATTATCGCCATCAAGTATAAAAACGATAGAAAAACAAAGCCAAAACCCAAATATTTTAGCCAATTTAGAAATCCCAGCCAGGGAAAAGAGGATGTATGATCACCCTACTTAGAAATATTAAAAGAGTTGGTGCAATTTTAGTGGGAAGCTGTATCATATCAATGAATATGATGAGTAATTGGGGAATACCCATTTGTATTTTAAATTAAAATATAAACATTTTTTTTTCTTTTAAAGATATCCATGCACAAACCAGTAATTAGTAGGTTTATAAGAAACTGACTATTCTAAGAAATGTTTTATTTATTTTGTTTTTAAGTTTGTTTGGAATTTGGAGGCTTACTCTCACTATAGATGAGAAAAATTCTTTATTTATACATTTTTTGAGTCATCTTAATCCAGATCATTTACATGGTTTTATACATTCACCAACATACTAGTATTTTATAAATATAGGCTACTTGTGAAATATAGCCTACCTGACAATTGTGTTTTTGGCTTTAAAATTTATCAGCTAATTTATCGAGATGGTCCTCACTGCAGAACACAAGTCCAGGGGGCGTGGTTGGATGCAGATCCAACTCCTCCCACCTGACATATACCTAACCTTACCCGTCTCCACCCCCTAATCCCTAAACTCACCCATCTCCACCTCTAAACCTACTAATCTCCACCCGTAGATGTGGATCCAACCACGCCCCCTGGGTCTTGTGTTCGCAGTGAGGGGCTACTGAATTTATCTGCCATGTAGAAAATTTACTTCTATTTACTAAGTAATTTTTTTTTAGATTAAATGGCGACACCCACTGACTCAATGTACCTCACTCTCTTCCTCTACTTATTAGGTGCGTTCGACTTCATGCGGCGCCGCGCAAACCGATCGGCGGCTGATTTGAAGCAGTGCATGTCGGTTAGAAATTTAGAAATGTCCGGCTTGACGGCTCCGTTTTCAACTCCGCCCCCGACTGCAAGCGGCTACACTCTCGTTGATCGCCGTCTGTAGCCGTGCTTCAAGTCGAACGCACCTGTTATAAATGGACACAAATTTTACAATGCTGAACCTAGTTCCGAATGTAAATTCGAATTGAATTAGCCGCATACGCTCATCTAATGCAACTACTGATTTTGTAACATTTTATTTAATATTGTAGTGATGTTATGCTTGACACTGAAGCTGCAAAGCTTGTATAAAAAAAACAACACATTTCACATCAAAGCACTGTATCGGAGCTTGATTCGTTTTGCCAAAAGCACGTGATCTATGACGTTTGAAGCTTCGTTCGTATGAAAACCACGTGACTGCTTCGGTATCTGGGCTGCGTTCAGCAGCGAGCG